CATAAGAGGGTCACAAAAATATACTCATTATTAAAATATATAAAAGAACAAGATAAAAAAAAAAAAACAAAACCAAAACAAAAACAAGGATGTCTCACTTATTTAAGAATTAACATACTAACATTTATGATTAAACACATATTTGATTTTTAATGTAACTAATACATTCCCAACAAACAAGTCAACAAAATTATAAAATTTAACATCGTTAAGTTGGAATTGTAGTAATTTGCACCAAACAAGCGAAAAAAAAATTATAAAATTTAACCTCTTGAGTTTGAATAGTAATAACATGAGCGAAGTTACTAACAAAAATTTTTTTTAAAAAAAATCCATTCGGTGGGTCCCACAAGATCGGGAATACAGTAGAGTAGATATTGAGGTGGGGCCCGCCATCACCATTACACGACGAAGAAAAATCAGAAACCCGAAAAAACGCGGCCCAGAAGCCGAGCCGTTGTACAGCTCAAAGAAACCCAACCGGCTATTGCCGGTTACAGGAAAAAAACAAATAAAAAGAAAAAAAAACGCAAGAGCGACCGTACTGCACATGTCAGGTCGTTTCCATGGCAGTTGGTAAGCATTTAGTGTGCTTTCTCCCTCTCCTTCGTCCCCCCTTTCTCTCTCTCTTCTCGCTCATACTTTTCTCTTCATTTTCTACTTACACTCCTCACTCCATTTTTTCAGCATCTAACTGCTCAATTCCTTGCATTTTCTTTACAGATCCGATACCAAACCTTCTTATATACTCGATATCCGATTTTCTGGCCCCCCAAAACCCTTGTTTTCATTGCATTTTCCTTATCTTCTCCAGGTATTGGATTGTTTGACTCCCTTTTTCTTGTGTATTTCGTGCTTGACTGTAGTTTTAAGATTCTTTGAGTAAAGAATATTTTTTTAGCTACAGTATTCATTGGGGGAGTGAGTGTTTTGGGTTTTCGTTCTGGTTTCCTGGAAAATGCAAGGATAAGTAAAAGAAGAAACACTTTACGAAATTCGGATTCCCTTTATGTTGCTTTTTCTTTGTTGGGTTTATGTTTTGGATCGGGAATCCGTCTATTAAGCTTAATGGGTTTCGGAAATTTTGTGTCTTGGAAACAATTTTGATTGTATTTCTTATCTTTCCTTGTATGGTGCAACTTTTCTCGGCAACCAAACAAAAATTTTGGAGTAGTTTCTTTTTTGTAGTTTTCATCTTCTTTTTTTCATAAGCACTCAATGAAGCTTTTGATCATTGGAGAACGGAGATCTCAACACTCGAATGCTTTAAATTTTATGCTTATTTCAGGGCCAGTGTGATGTCAGTATGACTTGAAAGAGAAGAACAGGTTGCATCGTTTTTGATATCAACAATCAGATTGGGTTTCATTTATTGGGATCAATCCTAATCCGTGAAGCAGTGATTAGATTCCTTCTCCGAGGACATGCGCATTCAATTCTTCCCCAAAATATTCGTGTAAGGGATCAATCTCTCTCATACAAATTAGTACCATTTATGCTGTGGAGTTTTCTCATTCTGTCTTACATAATTGTTACTTGTAAGGTTGAAACTTTCCTCTTTTTCTGTTTCAGGGTCTTAAACCAGAGCTGGGGATTTTCTATTCACAGTACAAATTAATTAAGGTGAAGATAAGTTAAATCTTAGCCAAATCCAGCAAACATCATGTTGATTGCAGTTGATAAATGATGGGTTTTTTGGTGTTGTATCGTCAAGTCAAGGAATTGTTTTTGTGGGTCTGGTGTTTGGTCTAATTGGGAGGTGTTTGTGTTGATAAAAATTGTTGGGTGAAGTGGGATTTGGTTGAGGAGATGTTGGAGCCCGAGCTTTGCTCTTCTAGGGTTCTCTCACCTTTCCGTGAGGAAAGTGGTGATGAGGAGCTTTCAGTTCTTCCCAGGCACACCAAAGTTGTTGTCACTGGAAACAACAGAACAAAGTCTGTGCTGGTGGGCCTGCAAGGCGTGGTCAAGAAGGCTGTCGGCCTCGGTGGTTGGCATTGGCTGGTGTGTACCCTTTTCTTCAGAATCATTAATTATCCTTTATCTTTTGAAATTACTAATCTTTTATGATAATTTAAAATATGCTATTGGTAATTCTTTTTAGCTCTTTTAAATTTAATAGCAATTCAACCTTAATCATTGAGAATCTTTCGGCGTGTTTAAGAATTTTGTAGAAGTTGGTTAATTAAATGATTGATTCCATTGATTGCAAGAGCTACCCATCCATAGAGGATGGGTCTGATTCCCTTTTTTGGGTTCATATGGTACATAATCTTAGACTAGGTTTAGCCTTTTTTTCTCTTTTTTTTGTGTATTTAAATCTGATTGTTTACAGCGAATTGTCATTGGAATTTGTTTCCAATTAAATCTGATTATCTTATTAAAATGGGATTATCCATGCAAAAACTGTAAACAGTAGTACATTGATGAAACTTGGGTTCTCCATTACTAATTTCTGTGGCTAAGAATGTCAGTTTTTGGTGAACTTAGATTAGACCTTGAATATCTTTGTTTCAATCAATAGCTTTCTGTATGTTTTATAGTTGAATAGGACAAACCAATATCTAAACTTGTTGACTTTGTCTGCACTTGATGAGGGGTAGAAAATTAATTGATTCAGTGATATGTGCTATTCTTTGGTTGAGTGCTTTTTGTTGCGGACCATTTTTTATTGCCAATACTCCTTGACACCATGGTAGATGAAGGTTGTGTATCTTAATTCTCAAACTATTTGTACTTATGTTCACTAGGTTTTGAAGAATGGGGATGAAGTTAAGCTGCAAAGGAATGCATTGAGCGTGGTGGAACATCCTACAGGGAATGAAGTAGATGAGGATCATGATTTTGATAACTCAAGCAGTGGATCTGAGCTTGGTGAAAAGGATCATGATTTTTGTAAGTGAAACAACATCCGCAACCCTTCTAAGATTATTGTCATCTTCTTGATTGTATTACTTTGGACTGACTACGAGTCTTTTGTGGTTTCCCATTATCAGCTAGCAGCATTGAATTCCAGAGACCTAGCAAGCCAAGAGTTCGGCAAAGAAGACCATCAGTTCCATCTGCATCCGTAAAATCAATGAATCGCAACAGTTACAGAGATGTCCAATCCATTATTCATGCACCTCAACTGGTGAGGAATTCAAATGCTTAATTTGGCCATCAGTGCATTAGTTGTGTGGTTTACAAATAAAAACATGTACACAGGTCTTTGTCAAATAATTTTATATGTATTAAAGAGTGTTTCCTCAATTTTCCCCTGCAAATCAGAAGGTAAATTTGGCAAGACTAGATACAGATGCATTCAGGAGATATTGCAGACACTATCACATTGTAAGTATATTCACCCTCATGCATCAAATTTCCTTAAGAACTTAGATAATAGCTACTCAACTCAAAGTTTCTAATTGCAGGGTGGTATCAATTCGGATTCATCAAGGGAACAACTGATCAGCACTGTGCAGCAGCATTTTGCCACACTGGTTTCTTCTCCCTGTCTTTTAAACACACTTACATAACGAATTCAAACGCAAAGCTCATATTATCTGACACATCCTGTTTTGATACAGCCACCATTGAACGAGGGCCAAGTGATCTCAGAATTCATCGGTGCAGCCAAGAGACAGAAAAAGGTTGACACACGCATCGGGTGATGGATCTTTGGATGTTCAACACCTTGCATTAGTAGATACATAGTTAGCTCTAACCTTTAGATCAGATCTAATGACAACAGACTAATTGGAAGCAGTGGTTGATTCAATCTCAATCTCATCACGGATTCTAAACTTGTAATATATAGCCAGTGCCCTTGGATAATTTCCCCAGTAGATGTATCACTGCTATCTCTACCATCTGATAATGCATCCACTGAATTCTCCATTTCTCACACATCATGTGAATTTCTTTTGATATGTTTTGAGTTTCCATTAGAGATCTTTTTCACTAGATGATGTTTGTGGGTAGAGAGAAGGAACTGGCTGGCATTTGGTGTCACAGGGACCTGTGCAACTGTATGTGATGTCGATTTTCTTGCCCCATTGTCTCCTAGCCATTATTCGCTACATCAAGAGATCTTGTGCATAAAAAGTTGCCTTGCCATCTTTATCAATATATTGGAAGGAAAAAAAAAAGGACAAACCACGTCTAGCCGTTTGTGATGGCTACTGCCTGGACTGGATGCCCTGTTAGCAAGTAGAACTTTCAAATTCACCTAAAAAATAATGTAGCGAGAAATTGTCTTTCAGATTATATATTAAGATAAATTATTTATTTTTTAACATATAATATCAATTTTTTGTTAAAAAATATTTACGTAACAAGTAAAACTTTAACGTCACACTTAGAAAAAAAAAAGAAGACAAACCACGTCTAGCCGTTTGTGATGACTTCTGCCTGGACTGGATGCCCTGTTAGCAAGCAGAACCTCCAAATCCACCATTTAAGTAAGAAGTAGGACAAATTCACCTCAAAAAGAATGTAAAGATAAATTACCGATTTAAATTATAAATCGAGATAAATTATATATTTTTTAACATGTGATGCCAATTTTTTATAAAAAAAAATGTTTATATGACAAACAAAGTTTTAACGTTACACGTTGAAAAATAAGAAATTTATCTTGATTTATAATTTTAAAATGATAATTTATCTTTGTATTTTTTTTAATGACAAATTTATCCTTTTATCTCCTTATTTGAGGAATGGATTTGGGGTTTTGCCCATGCTAACATGCTTAAAAAAGTCATGCCTTCCTTCACAAGGACAAGGGTATGAATTTGGGGGTAATAGAGGTGAAGTTTGAACTCATCTTTCTGTGAATGAGATCATGCATCCTGCCAATTTGAGCTACAAGTGTGAAACCGTCGAGATTCTTAATCTATCATTTTTATCACTAGCAGTGGCGGAGCCAGGGGGTGCGAGAGGGGGCGGCGCTCGCCCCCCTTGAAATTTGAAAATCTTGCAAATTGATCTATAAAAAATTATCTAGCCTCCCCTAAACTTTGAAAATTTTAGTATTTTGCCTCCCCCGAAAAAAATTTCTACCTCCGCCCCTGATCACTAGATCAATGCTTCATCTACCATCTAATTTTCATGGTATCTAAAGTCATTTATTCTGATTCCAATCTTAGGTTGACATTAATTCTTTTATTTCATTTAAGAACTTTCATTTGTCATTGTCAAGCCTGTTCACGAGATAAAAAAGGAAAAAAAAGAAAAAGAAAAGCAAATTATTCTTACGCCTAACATTCTTACCCAGCAAATAAAATGACTCATCAAGATAGATTCTGCCCCTTTTTTTTACTTTTTTAATTTTTTTTGCTTTTGTTTATTGTTAAAATGTACTTGGGTCATTTTTCATACACATTCAGATTAATCTTTCCCAAACAATTATAAAAATCTATCATTATATTAAACCTAATGTATTTAAAAAAAATTAATTTTTTAAATATTAATATCAAAATTTAAATCTTGAATCTGATTTAAGTTTCATTTAAGAACATTTCTCAATACTTTAATTTTTTTATTTTTGTGTCTTTATTTTTTTTTTTGAACAATTTATAATTATTTATAGGATTAATTGGGAAGAACGGAAAGGGGTTTCGTGGGGCTCGAACGTGCAACCCACGAAAGGTGAACAATCTTAACCCAGGTCCAATACCACTGGGCAGGAGCAGACCATTCATTTTTATGTCTTTTTATTATTTTAAAAATATATAAAATGTTAATTAAAATAAATATTAAATATATTATATATTTTTTTTTAAGATATTAAAAGTAAAAAAAAAAAAAAAACTTTTTATTGCAACTGCCGTCCACGCAATCTAAGCCTAACACCTGCTTACAAATTATCTAAGTTGGGTTTGCTTTTTAAAAGCATTTTTTTTCGAGTAGAACGATATATGCTTACAAATTATCTAAGTTGAGTTTGCCTTTTAAAAGCATTTTTTTTTTTTTCGAGTAGAACGAGATATATATATATATATATAGATGAAAATAGTGCCTACCAACCTTAACTTTTAAAGATTAAGAAGAAAATTATCTCAAAATTACATCATTTAATAAATTTTTATTGAAAAAAACTAAATTATCTTATTTTTAAAACATACATTAAGATAATTTTTATTTTTTTTCTTCTAATTTTTAAAGGTAAAACGAACAAATATACCTCTATATAAATATCGGCCTTATTGTCTCTTAAATTTGGGCCGTTCACAAAAGGGTTGGGTTGCCTTAACTCCAACAGCTCGAGCTTGGGCCCATTTATAACAGAAAGAAACCGTGGACCAAGCAAGATTCTATCAAGCCCAATTTACATCCTCCTCCGAGACGGCGAGTGAAATACACTCACTGATTCAGCGGCGCGTGGAATTAAATAAAACAATGATTATTTCCAATTAATTATAATTTCTTTTTTGAATTAAAATTTATTATAATTTCTTTTCGCAGTATTTTAATTCTTTTTTTTTTTTTTTAAATATAAAAAGAGTCTTCCAATTTCACTAATAAGACTATAAGAGACGTTCCAGCACACGAAAACAAGCAAACGCTCCCCCGAGCAACAGCTCCACTGCACAGCCTCATCATCAAAACCTGAAAACCAAAAAAACCAAAACTCTTTCGAATTCCAAACTCTCTGATTCTCATCGGATTCTCATCCCTCAGGTATCCTTTCCCTCTCAGAATTCTATTCTGAAACTTTCTTTTCCTGTTTCTCTCGCTTTCTCCGATTCTTTCCACCTTTTTCACTGTTTGGATTTTCTCGAGTTACTATGCTGGTTTTTTTTTTTCATTTAGGTTTCTATCGAGCTCATGATTATCGTTTTGTTCTTCTTTTTGTTTTTGGATCGTCAAATTCTTGTTGATTATAATGCTATTGAATTCAGCTTTCTGTTGTATAATAATATGATGTAGTTGACGAGGATGAACTGGAGATGAATCTTCTTTAGTTTTTTGCAGAATAGTTTTAGGTTAATTTCGCTTTTATCATCACTAGTTTATATTGATCCGTAGGGTTAGGATAGATACTTTGGATTTTGAATTGTTTCTTTTTTCTTTTTTCTTTTTTCTTTTTTGTCTTATTGTAATCTGTTTGATCTTCACTTTGTTTGTGAGAATGATTCCGTAATGAATCTCGGCTTAATTGTTCAGTATGAAACAGTCTTGGAACGATTGATGGAGTTAGTAAGCTTGTTTGTTTGTGTTGGATTGGTCTGAGACATGAATTCTTTGAAATCTGTTCTTTCTTTGAACTAAATGCAAACTTGGCGTAATCATGCGCTTGAAAAGAGGGAGGCTGGAGCCACTATGAATTTGTAGAAATAATTTATGACTTGAGGAGGTTTTTTTTTTAATTTTGTTTTTTTTTTCAATTCTTGCAAACTTTTTTAATGCTTTCTAATGTTAAGTATATGAATATGAAGGTCAGGGGCATGATTTTGATAATTTGAAATTATTAGTTTTAGTATTTTTAGCAGGTTTTCTCATTGAAAGTTGTGTTATATAGAATGTAAAAGCAAGGCATATTGTTCTTATTCTTTAAGACAGTTACATGTTGCTATTCTGACTGTGCTTTGAATGTGGAAAGTCTTACAGCTTTATGTGACCAAAGCATTTTTCTGTGTAACAGAGTTTGTCATCTAACAGAGTTTATCACCTGTTCTGGACTGGGATTATGATGGCCCATGTACCCATTTGTTTTAGATGATTGGTGGAAATAAGTAAGAAAAAATGGGAGGTTGTTGTTGTTGTCCTTCTAAAGGAGTTGAACTAAACAGTACACCAGCATACTATTATGTCAGTATAATTTTTTCCTTGGCATTAGTTATTTTCTACTACATTCAACTTCCATTCAATGCAGCCACCTCTTTTTTTTTTAAACATGCAAAAGATTTTCTTTTCTAAATAACACGTGCAAGAAATTTGAGTAAAAAGACTAGTTCTTATTGATGTTACCCTCTATAAACTCATTTACCAATAAGAGATTCTTACTGGAATTTTTCTCATATTAAATCTTTTGGTAAGGCCATTTATTGTGCTGGAACATGTGTTATTATCCACCATCATTATAAGCTGCAATTGGACTTTTCTTTTTCCCTTTTTTTTTTTCTTTTTGTGTGCTAGTAACTGGGTGCTGCTGATTATATAAATTTTAAGTTGCTTATCCTTGGAAGTTATTCTCTATTAGCAAGTTACTTATGTATTAGACATCAATTTATGCTAATTCTAAAATGAGTTGAACTATAGACCTACCTGAAATGAAAATTTTCCTTGCTTTCCTGAATACCATTCTATAAAATTGGTTAGAGAAATATATTATGAAGGTTTCAAAACTTAACTGTCTTATTTAGTATTGTCATTTACCATCTCTCATTTTGGTGTGGAACTACTCTTTCTTGACAGTATCCTAGAGCATCTGAAGAGCATTTACCTTTATCGTCTAATCATGGTGCTGCCTCTGGCCTCCCCACTGGGCTCCTGGTTGATACCAATCTGGACACATCAGAGCCAGATTCCTATAGACCACCTCCTACTCCTTTGCCATTTGATGTGGGTTTAGCGCCTCCTCAAACTGGTTCAGTTGCTCAAGAAATTCATAACAGTAAGAATGGTGCAGCAGTTGAAACAACAAATTCTGATCCTGTTCAGGAAGCAATTGATGTCAATGCTCAAAGTACTTTGACCAAGTCTGATAAAGCAGAGTCCAATATTGAAACTGAACCGACAAAGCAGTTAGAAGTTGAGCTCTCAAAGTCAGCTGAAGCCATTGTATCTGCAGCAGAGGAGGATGTATGCCCAACCTGTTTGGAAGGTAATGTTAATGTCTGTTACCTTGTTAGTTATGGATGGACTTACAGTGGCAATATTTCTGCTCCAGCAGAAAACAAAAAACTGAACATTGCTCATCTTGCAGAGTATGATGCGGAGAATCCCAAAATCACCGCAAAATGTGAGCATCATTTTCATCTTGCATGTATCCTTGAATGGAAGGAAAGAAGTGACACCTGTCCCGTGTGCAATGAGGTTTGTCTCAAAAAAACCATTTTTGTACTGTATGATTATCATATCATTGATTACCATGAAAACTAACAGGAGGGTATCTTATGATGCAGGAAATGATATTCAACACTGCTGCTGATAACTAGTTATCTCTATCTAGTGGGAGTTCAATTAGCTTTTCAAAACTAGGTTTGAAAGCAAAGATTACAATGCTTGAGAGAGCCAGTCTTGAGGTTTTTTTATTTTTTTTACCATTTTCCTGTTTCCAGTGGCTGTCAAAGATCTGGCCATGCTTGTTTATTTGTTTCCTTTTTAGTCCCTTTTTTTTTTTTTCCTTTTATGAGTCATTCACTCATTTTTTTTTTTTTCCTTTTATGAGTCATTCACTCATTCCTATTCCTAGTGCATAACATCTTTGTGCATTCATACCGCTTCAAACTTGGAAAATTTTGAATAAAAGGAAAAAGGAGAAAGAAATAGCAAGAAAATTTGAACAGAAATTGGTTTGATGTCATTTTGAAGGTTGTCATTAGTTATTATCTTCTTCCATGAGATTGGTTTTAGATGAAGGGTTTTGTTTTAAGGTGGAATTTCACAAGAATGTTCACTGGAGTGTATGTCGCTGGCATGCCTCATTATCTCTTCTTGTTTTAGCCCTTGAATTCATTTTGATAAACAAAATACACCTTGGAAATGATTAGATGTCGTGGCCTAACTCTTGCTTGTCAATAAACTAAATCTATCCAATCTATCCTTGTATTTAATAATGAAAAGTTACCTTTTCAACTTTATCACAAATAAATTAACATAGAACTTTTTATTAACAAATTATTTGAATTGAAAAAGTTGAAGGGTGAGGGAAGGAGAGTGAGGGGAGAGGATTCTTTTCTCTTTTTTTAATAATTTTAATAGAGGAAGAGGAAGAAAAAGGAAAACGGTTTCCTCTCCTTCTCTATTTTTCAATTCATTCCAATTCCAATTGGAGGGATTGTAACAAATTGTTTTTTTTTTTTAATTTAAATAAATATATAAATATTTTATTTTA